GGGGGTTCAGAGGATGCAGGGGGTGCAGGGGGTGCAGGGAACGTAGGGTTTCACATGAGGTTTCATTTCGTTTTAAAAATGAGCAAACATTTTCTTCAATCATGGTTTCCATGGCTTCAGAGTTTCCATCTTTTAGCCAGTTGCCTGCTTTTTAGATTGTGGCGGTTTCTAGCTTTTTACTACTCTAGGCAAGAACGTCGATCACCGCCTCACCTGTAACCTCAGGACCGCAGACCCGCGTTGGCCGGCGTCCCCAGGGCGCCCCCTGCCCAGGTCCCTGCCCCGCAGTGAAGGATCCGCCTCTTTCCACCAGCAGCCCACGCGTGGATTTACTGTTTCGTCTGCACTGGCTCTTATTTGTCTGTGAAATCTTTCAGTTACATTTCAGACTAAGAAGTGGTGTAACTGTTGGTGTTGAAACGTGAGCGAGGACATTGGCGAGCCGCGGTCAGGGAGCTTCGGCTCGGCACTGATTAGCGGGCACCCTCGGGTGGGCCCCGGGGCCAACCGCCGGGGCCACGCTCTCCGCTGGGCGCCGTGTACATGCTGCTCCTTTCGGACCATAAAGTAAATGTTCAACCTGGCGCTCCGCTCGCTGATCTACATGCCAGAGTAAAACAACCTATTCTGCATCAGCCGTCAAAAAGTTGGTGGTTTACACACTGTCTGCAGGTTTCTACGCAAGCTAATGAGTGTTTATAGAATGAAATCGTCTGTCTTCATTAGACCAGAATTAATCATCCTCTCCACAAATAATTCTTCCTTGGTCCTTATATGTCTACAATAATATTGACGACATTCTGCCTTGCTGTGTAATTCTTTGTGTACATACATGTCTTATCGCTTCTTAGAAATCCTATCTCATTTATCTGTGAATCCCTCATGGTGGGGAGCTGAAACGTGATTAATGTTTAAATAAACTCATTTATTTATTCAATGCATATTTACTGAGCACCTGCTGTATACCAGAATCATGATAGTCCCATTACAGTCACAGGAACAAATAAAACTCACTCAGTTCCTACTATCGTGGGCTTTCAGGACTGTGGAACAAATAAATATTAATTAACATATAAGTATTTATAGAATTCCAATGAACTCAAGTGCTGTAAAAGCACCGGCTGCAATGAAAACATAGAAGAGGGCAGGCCTGGTGGTAGGGGCAGCTATGTGGTTGTGGGAGCCAGAAAGGAAAAGACGTGTGAAGCCTGTTGTTGGATTTTTATAAAAGGCAGTGTCCTTGAAACAAGAAAAGTAACTAAGTTTGCTGCCATCTCTTCCATTTGCATTGAAACAGAATGATCAATGAAGTAGAGTTACCTGATGTTCTTTCATTAATATAATTTAACTAGTATATTTATTATAATATAATATAATATATTTATAATATAATTTAACTAGTATAATTTAACAAATTTCAATTGTACAGTATTTGTTATGTATCAAGTACACACACACACACACACTCAACGAGGTGGATGGCTCTGTTTTTACGAGTCGGGGCCCCTCCTCCGAAGCTTTCTCTGGGCTCCGGGATCTCACCGGACGCTGACTGCGTTCTGATGAGGGAATGAGAACGGTGGTTTATCAACTGTCCCATTTTGTTGGGTCTCCTCAGTACCATTCTCCGGCAGACCAGAATCTTTGAGTGAGGAGGGAACTGGAAACTGTGGCCCATCCCCAGGATACCTCTTGGACTTTATAATTACTCCTTGGCAGTTTCAAACTGAAGCACATCTCTGACCTGTGCTCGAAGGGACTGGCATCTCCCAGCTCCTTCCCACTCAGCGAACAAAATCACTACCATGGACTCAAACGCAACGTCCATTTCATTTGCACAAATTTCGTCACACCCTCTGGGTGCAGACAACTTCTCCGCTAATGCTCAGTGGTGCCTTCTGAGCGTCTCAGCATTGCTCTGTACCTTGTCTTGAATTTAACTGATGGAAGGAAATGGGGAGTTTTGAAATAACATAATTCTGATAGATTTGAGACACATGATCTTTCCTTACATTTTTCTATGTCATATTTTCAGGCTATTACTAGGTGTGTGTGTTTTTCCTTCACAAAGTAAAATAATGCTTTTATTAAAATTATATGCAGAATATACCTTTGCCCTAAGTCCTTCTGCATGTTTATCTTATTGTATGATCTGTTTTCTCAGGGAAACATGGTGGGGGGACCACTAAATTGGGATATTAGCTTTTATGAAGTTCATTAAATGACTGTGAGTAGAGAATCAGGGGAGAGAAAATTTGGCAGACTTCTTACTACAGAGGCTGAAGTTGCTGCCCAGCTCTTCAGAGAGAGTCTCACCAGTAGTTAATTTTGTCTTTAGAAATATATTGGTCACTACAGCTGAACGATCTTATCTCCCCTTCATCACAAATGCATGTAAAACAGTATATTCACAAATCAATTCATCATTGCATTTTTTTTTTTTTTTGCGAGGGAAGTCTTGTCTGACCATTATATATTACCACAGATGAAAACCTGATGGTAACAGTAACAGACATGTATAGATTAATCTTTATTCTCTGTCTTGGAACGGCATACATATCAATATATCATATCAAATAAAAAATTAGTTCTTCCAACCTCAATCCTTTATTGAAGGTGTTTCATTTCAAGCGTGTTTTGCATGCATATAGTATATCATTTAAAATCAATTTCAACGATTAGCAAGAGAAAATTTTAATATATCAGTACCTTTATAGTATTACAATTTTTTTGTCTCAGTGACTTGAAATGAAAATTGTACAATATTCAAAGTACTGTCATCTTTATTTTCTTCCTTGATTTCTACAACAATTCTGGAATGAAAACAAAATAGATATTAGAAAGCGAAGAACCTGAAACTCAGAGAAATTCAGTGTTGTCCCCACTGAGAACAGTTTTAGCAGCTCAAAAGAAGATTCAGATTTAAATGAAGGCCTTGGGAACATGTAGTGCTTCTGTCCGCTGAACGACTGAAGAAGCCATCAACGTGCAGGTCTTGCAGGACCTGAATAAGGCCCATTCGAGGAGAAAGTGAAACGAGCCCGAGTTCACCGTCCCTCAGCTGGCCAATGGAGATATTTTCCGTGAGTGGTTAACTAAACCTTATGTTGCCATTTTGGGTCTAAGTGATTTCAAAAGAACTTTGCCTGCTGGGGACTATTGATATTGATTTTGACCTATATGGAAAAGCTTGGAAACTGCAGAGTTCCTTGCTATCAGTCCCATCTCTAAAGGCAGTGAAATAGGAAGGGGAGACAAAGCCTGGACAGGGGAAACATGCCACTTTTTTGCTGTGTGACCATAGACAAGTTACTTAACCACTCTGACCTTTAGCTCACAGGGTTATGTTCATCTGAAGCGATAATGCCTGTGAATGAAGCCAGCACAGTGCTTGGCGGTGGGAAGGCACTCTAAAAGGAACTATTATTATTCAAATAGTGCTAATGAGTGTCTAACCAGAGAGGTTCAGGGATTCCAGATGTACCGAAGCCACTGGGTTAATAGTAGCAGAAAGTTGTCTGAGAGCCAGGATGCCAGAAGGGAAGTAGGAACCTGATACAGAAACACTACCACCTCCCCACCCTGCTCCGACAGGTCTTTTTTTAAATCTTTAAACTCTTAATAAACACTAATTAGCCCTATGCCCTGTGAGACAGACTTGCTTCGAGCACCATGCTCTTGACGACGAAGCACATCTTCTGTAATTGGCTCGAGTATCACTGCCTGGCACAGCTGTAAAGCTTTTCTCACAGGCACCCAAGGCCGGAGAGAAAGCTGCAGGGAGGCGTGTTGGGCATTTAGACCTGAGCAGAGCAAGGACCAGAGGCCAGGCGCAGAAAAGCCCGGGTGCCTAGCAACAGACGGAACTGGGGGAACAAGGCCCGGGCCCCCAGGGTGCCCTTCCTCTACTAGCCCATCCCTGGTCCTTCGGTTTAGACCCCTGACCTTTTGCGTTGCAGGTCATGAGGTTCAAACCCTCCCGGCCTTTCCTCCCCCAGGTACGTTGCTAGTCCTGCGGGTTAGACTCCTTAGAGGGGGAACGAACATAGGGGCCGGAGAGTAGCCCTTACCCATGAAGACCCAGGACAAGCGGGTTTTGATGGCATCACATACATCCAGGCCTCAGCTGTGTTTCAGCTCCAGGCCCAGAAGAGCAGCAACGCCAGACAAGGGCCACCGTGGCTGACCAGGGCCAGCTGCACTGACTAATGACCCCCGCCCTGCTGACCAATCAGTGGAGACAATGCCCTGAGGGGCCACACCTGGGAAGCTGATGAATATTTTATTGGGATCCTCTGGGGCCGCCCCTAAACT